AAATAAACACACATGCTGCACACCCCAGCGTCGACCAACCTAGTTCCAAAGCCACTCACCCTCATCCTACACTCAGCGAGAACAGACCCAGGTATGAGAACGCCATACCATACTTATTTGAATTACTGAACTTAGTTCCGTAACCATGGTGGTTGAAATCCTACTCAATCATGACATCGTAGCCAAATGGTCACAACCCCTCGCAGAAGAGTCTTCGATTAATCCGATCATCACGATAGGTAAGCCGAAACGAGCTTGGCCTTACGTCCCTCTACATACTACAACATGAACACACATGTTGCACACCCCAGTGTCAACCAACCCAGTTCCAAAGCCACTTACCCTCGTCCTATACTCAGCGAGAACAGACCTAGGTATGAAGCGCCATACCACAATTATTCGGATTATTAAACTTAGTTCAAACAACTCTGCTACCCAGTCTTTAAACACTGAACAATAACATCAAAAGATGATCAACTCGTCTAAGCTAAGTAAATATACAACTCAATGCAAGATGATGGACAACTATATGAATCAGCTCTATAGACATTGCTCAATCCCTAACACAGCGCCTTCACGAAACCAAGAAGAATCGACAACTCCAAGGAGTCGGGGGAAGGTGCGCCGACGAGAAGTCATTGTTCCTTGACTCCCCTGATCCTATCGGTGAGAAGCATTGCCTGACAAGACATGCAACAACAAGAAGACATGCAACGAATCCCATCCCACACGATCCCAAAGCAGGCAGCAAGAATACCACATATGACTCCCAAGTAAGATAATCAACAAGCAATAGGCAATAGGCACAAACGAAGGTAAGCGATCTTAAGATGTCATTATATTGTTTTAGTGAGAGGAGTATAAGTGGTTCTCAATTTCATCACTCCGTCAATCACCATTATACCACATATAGGGTAGGCGACAGAAAGCGAAGTCTCAAGTGGCTAGGGTGGTGGCAAAGCATCCTAAAACGTTTTTCGCTAATCATGCCACAGATTAACTCATCAGAGGAGTCCAAATTTGGACAACACAGCATGTGACTCACTTATTCAAAAAAATGAACGAGAACCAACTTCAAATGGATAAATAGAGAGAGAGGAGTAAGTGCATGAAATAGTAGGGAAGGAGAAAGAATCGGAAGGGGGGAAAAGAAGGGGAATGAGATAGTGAGAGAAGTGTTGGATCATAGAAAGAGGGAGTGTGGTATAGGTCGAGGGGAAAGAACGAGAGGTGGGAGGAAAAAAGGACGGAGGAAAAGAGAATATTCGGCGCAAGTGAATGCATCACCTCCGGCTGAGAGGCAGGCTCGGCGATCCCATCCTCGGAGAGATGCATGTGAAGCATCTCCTCAAAACTGACGGCGGACTCCATGGCTGTTTTCAGGAATCTCTTTGCTCCAACGGCGAATGCAGTAATTGGAGTAAGTTCCACCGAGATCCTGAGAGGAGCCAAGGAACACGAAACGGTAACGGAAGCCGAAATGGCAATGGAAATTTTTGGGAGTGACGTGCACAACACAGCCGTGAGATAGCACGAAACAGTAACCGTCGTGGAGAGCGAAGTCATCATAGCAACATCGCTAATTGACGGTAGCGGACCGGAATTGTCGGGAGCGACTATACTTGCGAACACTTCTCAAGGAAAGAGAGGGACGGTCGTATAGTCATTCACGCCAATCCGGTGGAAAAGGATTAGCACTATGCTAATCTTAGTGATATATAGAGTTTCGAAAAACACGGTCCATCATTCATTGCGGGGTCCGAAAACGTCGGTAGGTAGGACCCTACCCGAGGTCTACTTAGTGCTTCTGCCTAAATTCAGGTATTTCAGAAGGACTAGTGAATGTAGACAGCATAAGGTTGTGTGTGAAGAGTATTTAGGCCAAAACTTCACTACCGACTGGTCTGCTTTTAATTCTCTATTCTTCCAAAAATGCTATTATTATTTTAGCAATTTTGATGCACTTATTGTACATAGTGATCGATAGCTGAGTACCCCAATAGAGCATTGCTCAAATCTTTTTTTTTTTTTTTTTTTTATTCTTTTAATATTATATAATAGGGGGTCAACCATTCAAAGTTTTATATATGTATGTGTGTGTGTGTATGTGTGTGTGTGTGTGTGTGTGTGTGTGTGTGTGTGTGTGTGTGTGTGTGTGTGTGTGTGAGAGAGAGAGAGAGAGAGAGAGAGAGAGAGAGAGAGAGAGAGAGAGAGAGACCTGCAACATGCAGCATGTTAGTGGCAGGGAGCACAAGGGCAGGCACTGACCTCTAACAAAAAGAAGAAGTAATTTTATCGGAATACAAGAGTTTTTTCTTTTCGAAATCCGAATAGAAAGGGTACACATTGTATTTGAATACAAAGTGTACTTTTTTTATTCGAGGAACTCTGCTATTCGAGAAAAGTGGACCTGCACCTTTTCAATTTTGAAAAAGGACTACGGCCTCCTCAACCTCCTATGTGCAGCTACCGGTCCTACGTGGTCCTGGACCGAAACCCGTGTGGTCCCACGGGCAGCTACCGGTCCTGCAGTTTCAAATAAGATGCCACCACCCCCTAAACTACCATGCCTTGTTTTTTCAGCCTTTCAACGACCGTATAGCGAACGACGACGAAAAATGTTATAAGGGGCATAAAACGCAACCCTGACGGGCTGCGAATTGACTTACCGTAAGGGTACGGGTGTGCAACCCATAGTTTGTATATGCTTGWKWGAKRRGARAGARAGAGAGAGAGAGAGAGAGAGAGAGAGAGAGAGAGAGAGAGAGAGAGAGAGAGAGAGAGAGAGAGAKGGCGCAAAACAAATCCAGATGGCACGCAAATAACCGGGATCCACACCGTTTCAGATTCAAATTTCAAGGCCTTGCGGCCCGCACGCCGTTTCAGGCTTGGGTCCACCGTTTCAGATTCGAATTTCAAGGCCCTGCGGCCTGCACACCGTTTCGGACTTTCCGCCCCAGCCCCCGCGCCCTTTCCTTTTTGAAACTCGCAGCTCAAGGACCACGGCCTGCGCCAACCCTGCGCGGTCCCACGGGCAGCTACCGGTCCACTATTTCCAAATAAACTGCCACTGTAGCCCCTAAAGTGCCCTGCCTGCCTGTGCCTGCATTTTTGGAGCCTTCCAACTACCAACCAGCGAGAATGAACGACCGGTATAACGAACGACGACGAAAAATGTCTTCCACGGGGGGAAAAAACGCACACCTGACGGGCTGCGAACTACCATCTTCACCCGAATACAACGTACGGTCATTATAGTTGTATCTAGACTGAAAGATGCCTCAAATTCGCAGCCCTTAGGCTGCGGTATAGTATGCTTCCGCGTCTGTGTCAAGGTGTCGCATTTTCGGTGGCGGGCGACCAGGATGCAAAGTGGGTTCTTAGGGGACAAATGTTTTTTGGGGACCGGTCCTTGGCAAAATTGCGGACTATCTACAGCTAGCTCTTCTAGAACCGGGACTTTTGGAAAAAGGAAGGACCGGTCCTCGGGTGGAAGTGGACCCCAAAAAGAAGTGAGGGGCTTTGCACCGGTCCCTGTGTAGAAGCGGACCCCAAAAAGAAGTGCGGGCATGTGAACTGCAAAAGGGCCCTCGAGCCCAGGCATTGAGCCCCGTCTTCTCAAAACAGGGAGGTCAGGCACAACGAAATAGACGTTTTGCAAGAGGCAACTTTGACGATTTTCTGTGCTGGGACGAACATGCACAAAAATATGAAATTTTGAGAATCCATAGATGAGGTCGTGTTCTTTCCATAAATAATAATAGAACATTTACAAAAAATCATTTACACTGCGAAATAATCACCGCGCCGATTCGGCACATTTTCCATTTTTGCCACTCAACCATGCCTGGACCAACTAAAAAAGTACTCCAAATTCAGTGAGCTTTCACGCTCAGAAGAATGCGTGAAAAAACCTGAAACTCGGAGGACTCGTAGATTTTGTTGTGATCTTTCTGGGAAAAATGCTAAATAAATTAAAAAAAATAATTCTAACTGCAAAATAGATCTCGGCCGCAATTTGACCCATATTTCAATTTTGCCATTCTCTCTCTCTCTCTCTCTCTCTCTCTCTCTCTCTCTCTCTCTCTCGCGCGCGCGCGCGCGCGCGCACATGCGCGTATCAACAAACGGAACATTGCAAATGCCGATCTCCGCCACGACGTGCTTCA